GAAAAGCCATTTCACAGTCACGTGAGCCAAAATTTCAATTCACTTTGTATACAGGAATGGATTTTTTTTTAAAAAAAACATGATTTTATTTTATACTCTTCCTGGGTTCTAACTACCATGCTGAAAGAGGCCTCTTTTGTTTGAAACTTTATCAGTTCTTAATCCATTTTCGAATATGTCCCCTGCACCCCTCAACCTGTTGACCACATTGTATGCCATAACTGCATCACCAAGACAACACCTCCATTCTTGTCTGTGTTGGTAGTTTTCCCCATCACAATGTTTATACATAGTTATATAAAGATGCTAATTTAGCCCTGATTCCAAAAGGTCAAATATAAAGGGAATAGTGGCAGTACTATTCAACAAGAAACATTGTCATCTTTTAAATACATACTTATGAATCACAACTTCATGCATCTGCCAGCTTCAGGTATGTTGGTATTATTATAATTTTTAATACTTTTTAATTACTAATACTTTGTAGAAGAATGATACATGCATGCAGGACCACCCCCTTTTTATAACACTGTAGTTCATAAATCCCAATAATAGAGGGTGCTGGTTGGTTTGGGACTTAATGGTCTGTAAACAAACGAGCTGGAAAAAAAAAAAAAACCAAAACACCAGGAAAGCAGTTGATCTGCAGCTCTCAGACAAAGCTCCGAAAGGCCCAGGGTGGGGGGGGGGGGCGATGGCAAGGGGCTTATCAGAAGGAAGAACCAACTGTCAGGATCAGGCTCTGCTGACGCTGAAGTCACACAAAGAGCAGCAAGGTGAGAGGGGCTGGGTTTGGGGTCACAAGCCCACATTGGGATCTGTGACTCATCCTGGACACACTTGGGGGGGGTTAGACCAACAGTGCTTGAGTGCCTGCTGCAGAGCTGGGCCTGTGTTGGGGACATGTATCCATCTCCTAGGGTTGCTACCATTGTCTTAGGGGAGATGCTGTTAACCTGGTGCTTCGAGGAGCAACTTGCCTGAGGCTGCCCTCTGATCTGGCTACAGGCCATTCTGCTTGCTTCAAAGCTGTAGAGTCATCTCAGGCCCCAGCTGGTTCCTTCTGCCCAAGGAAATTCCTATGCATTTGGTTTCTGATATGCATTCTGCTTTCAGTCCTTTGCTGGAAGTGATTGTTCAGTACAGATGGCAATGGAGGCTTCCTTGGGAAAGGAAGCCTTTCTTTGGGGAGAAACTCACTTCTTTGAGGGCTTGGTCTCTCTGACTTTTGGCTGAATTGATACCTGGGACATAGGCCTTAGTGACTCATTGCATCTTGTTTGTTTCAGTGTGGCAATTTCTGGGTGCATGTGCCCCAGCCCGGGGACTGCCTTGTCTGGCTGGACCTACACCTCTCTTTCCCTCACTGGCGAGTTCTGTTGTGACCCACCCGCTTGCTGCTGTGTGCTGTTGCCTGCTCTTCTTGGCCAAGACAGTCCAGCAATTCCAGCAGAGGGCCTTCCAGTGGGTCACTCTTTCCCAGGAGGGCTTCCGACGCAGCAGAAATGCCCACAGCCATGTCTAAGGTGAGCTTCCATAGAGGCGCCCCAGTTGGGTGGTGCTGGCATGGAGGCCGGGGCTGCCTGTGTGAGCCTGCCTTTTCGAGTTAGGGAGTATGTGCTTGTGTACGGAGAGAGGGTGTCACTAACTTGGCAGTGGATAGTTGCTATTTTCAGCAGTAACAGATTTCCTGGCAAACATTTTTAAAAAGAACCACATGGGGGAAAATATCCCAGAACATCTTCCTCCACACTTCTCTTTCTACTCCCCAGCCACCCCAACTTCTATGCCATTGGCAGAAATTTCAGGCCCTCTTTGGTTCCCCATAAACATTTCCAATTCCTCCTTATCTTGTTATTCTGGAAAGTACCATGATGGCATCAAAGGACACCTTGGGCAACCTTCGTCTCCTCCCCTCCCCCGCATGTTCTTCATCAAGCACCTTAAACTTCCTCAAACAAACACGCAGTCTTAATATAAACAAGATGCTCTCTCCGCAGTGTCCAGGGGCTTCCTTTCTCAAACTGCATTGTGCATCTGTGTAACCTGGGGATCTTAAGTTGCACCTGCAGATTCCGTAGTCTAGAGAGGAGCTCCAGGAACCAGCATTCCTACCTAGCTGCCGGGTGACGCCATTGCAGCTCAGCATTGGGAAACCAGTCTGAGCACACATGTTCCAGGCAGCCCCACCTCTGCCTCCCACGGGCCAGATCAGCCCCTGCTTTGTGGAAACTCTGATGGTCCCACGGTATGGACGTCTAGGGGAGGAGGGCAAGGGCACAAATGTTGGCTCCTTTGCCAACACAAATGTCCCCTCCTTGGCCAACATTTCTTCCTATTTTATATCCCTCTTCTCTTGGTCCTTTAACTCCTTCTTTTATTTAGCCTCTTTCTCCTTGGTGATTCTGTTGTTAGTCACTGATGTTATTCTTCAATCAGACGCTATGGGGTAGAGGGACAGAGGTCTTGAAGTCATACACACACACACACACACACACACACACACACACGCACACACGCACACATGCAGAGTTTCTGGGCTCTTCCTTGGACTTCCAAGAACCACATCCTTCTTTGGGCTCCAGTTTCTTTATGCTTATACTATGGGATTGATTTGGCTGAAGGCCCCTCACGTACTGACATTCTTTGACTCCAGTGAACCAGCAAACACATTTTAGGTCCTGCTTACAAAGTCTGAAACCTTAATTTCCCACCTGAACTCCATCCATCCTGCTGTGTATCTCTGGGATGATCATTTGCCTTCTCTAGGCCGTAGTTCCCTTTCTTACAAAATCAGAGGTGATGAGAGTCACACGATCTGGACAAGTTAGGATATAAATGAGGGCCTTGTATAGAAAGATGCCTAGCATAGTTCTTGGTAAACTGTCTTAGTCAGCGCTGGTTGCTATGACAAAACACTATAGACAGCGACTTAAACAACAGACATCTATTTATCACAGTACAGCAGTCTGGGATGGAAAGTCAAGGTTCAGGCTTTGGTGAAGTCCCTCTTCCTGGCTTACAAATAGCTGCCGTTTCAGTGTGTGACCACATGACCCATTTTTTTTGTGTATGCATGAGGGGTGAGAGAGACACAGAGGGAGAGACAGAAAGAAAGAGACAACAGAAAGAAAAAAGACAGAGAGAGAAAGAGATAGATGAAGGGAGAGACAGAGAGAGAGGAGAGAACACTACAGTTTCTCTTCCTCTTCTTGTAAGGACACTAATTCCATTATTGGAGCTCTACCCTCATGACCTCATCTAAAACTAATGACTTCCAAAAGTCTCTAACAGTAAGGATTAATCAATATGGCTGAAGTATTTTGTTCATTGGAAAGAATGAACAGACTGCTCAGCGTGAGTTCAGACTGGAGCGTCCTAACTGAGCCTACTGCAGAGGGTGTAGGGAGAAATCAGATGGGACATGCCTCTAGTCAGCTGGCACCAAGATTCTAGATTAAAGGCTGGGATGGCATCTAAGGAGAGAGACTAGTGAGGGCAAGTCTTAGTTCCTGAAGAAGTCAATCAGGGGAAGTGGGGAGGGCATGGCTGAAAAAAAATTTGTTTTTAAAGATTTATTTATCTATGCATACAGAACTGAGGTACAGGCCAGAGATGCAGGGGCAGTGAGAGGATTCACCAGAGACACAGTGGTGAGCAGAACAGGCAGGTTGACAAAGAACACTGCTGAGGGAGCAGCAGGTGGGCCAGGAGAGGTCTGCCATGCCATGTGGTCACCTCGGGGCAGGCAGGGATCGAACTCATGCAGAAGTGGCTTTAGCTTCTTAGTGCTGTGCTTTAACCCGCTGTGCCACCAGCTGAAATTTTAAAGCATTAGCAGGGTAGAACAGTTTTTGACGCTTCAAAACTGAGAATTCATGCCTGAGAGGGAATAGCAGCAAGAGGGGTGTTATGCCTGATTCAGGACCTCTGGGTGATGGAAATGGGGTGGAAGGGCAGAAGCCCAGACTCCTGCAAGGTCTTAACAATTATGGGTGGAAAATTAGGAAATAATGAGGGGTGGGCAAAGGAAAACAGCTGTGATAACAAGGAATTTCATCCTAGGAGCACTAGATGAGGAATAGTGATGGTAACCAAGATGACATCCTAAATTAATGTCATGACAACAGTTTGCAACAGGATGGAATGGGTACCCTCATTAGTGTCGTTTTGGCTTGTTAAGGCTTCAAGATTCTAACTAGCTATTATGTCTAATTTTAAAGATCTGTTAAAAATACTGTATGTAGATGAGTTACATCTGTCTTTTGTTTCTGCTGAATTAATGTCACTGACAACAGGGGCAAGATATAAAAAATACTCAAGATTTAGTTTTTCAGGGCCTTGGTGATCCTGGTGGCCAGGATTTCACTTGAGTATTATATTAAATGGCTCCAACATTGCCAAATAAATACTGGCAGCATTTTCTTACTCAACAACTACAGTTTCTGTTCTCCATTTTCGAGGGAGGAGGAAAGGTGGGGGTGGTATTTTCATGAAGGGAGCTTTCCTGTTGCTTTTCTTCAAAAGAGGCCAGGGGCAAATCTTTGCTGACCCTTGAAGACCTCAAAGGCGGTTCCACAGACCCATCTTGAGGCATTGGTTTGGGTTAATGCCTCTGTACAGAGCTCTGCAGGTCAATTCGGCGCCTACAAGTAGCCCCAAATCAGTGAGCTGATATTTCAACAGATCACCCGAAGAGGCTGGAGTCCCTCTGGGGTGAAGGGCTCACCCCTCCCGAGGGGTCCGGGCGTCCATCCCACTCTGGCCGGCAGGCGGCGCGCTGGCGGCGCGGGGCCCGGAGGGGACCTGGAGCCTGAGTCAGGCTGGCGTGCG